ACTCCCAGCCTTGCTATGTGAAAAGGAAATACCTCTATAATTTTGATTGATAGTGCCAAATTGCTCTCTAGTCAGTGTTCAACACAGAAAACAAAAAAGAATTGTAGATATTTTATAAAGGTAGGCACTTCAGGAGAATTTGGTGCTTATGAAGTCTTTAGGAGAACAGAAAGAGGAGAGTTTAGGAATCTAAGTTGAGCCTACCAGAATAAATCCCACAGGTAAAGAGAACACTTGAGAGAGCTGCGTCCGGAGTTATCAAGGACCCATGCCAAAGGTCAGAGGCCACCAGATATCTTTTTCCTCCTGGGAAGGTGGAGGATCTTATACCACAATCCAGAGATTTAAACATGAGATACAGCCGCTGCAATCACCTTCGCTTCTCTATATCCAAACTGCAGGGCGGATACTTGATCACTGGAGAGCGGAAGCCTGTTTCCCACTACCTGGCAAGATTCAAGAACCTAACGATGGACTCTGCCCTACTTCTGCCTTTCAAATCATGGGAGAGCACATATAGGCAATCTAGTCACCATTCACAATCCTACCTGGGAAAAGAAAGTGGGAAACACAGGATATAGCTTTTGATCTAACAAGGAGTCAGATGGCCACTGGGTGGATCAAGAATTCACACCATGTTGTCCTTAGTGCAATTAACATCTTTCTGCAAAAGTACTTATTTGTCCACACTTACAAATATCTGGGGAATAATTATTATAAAACTAAACATTTCTTAACCTATGTAAGTTTAAAAACCTGTTGTTAGTATTCTTTTTGCACTTTGTAGTAGTTTTTTCTTTCCCCATTTTGAATTATTTGTATTTTTTTCAGTGATAACTTTACAAAGCTGCCTTATCCTTTAGGGCTCTTGGTTTTACTGAATTCTAGGTGCCACTTTATATTGAGTAATGCAAACCTTTTTCTGAATTTTCCATTATTCCTCAAACTATTTTGGTTTTGCCATGAACATTCTATAAAAATTTCGTAGAGCTGGGGGTGCAACCCAATGGTAGATCTCACGGTTAACAGGTGCCATGCAGTGCATTCAATCCTCAGCAGTTGTTTTGGTCATGATTTTATTTTGTAGTGATAAATCAGTTATACATGGAAAAATTTACTACGTATACCCAAATTTTATTACATTAAAATCTTTGGCCTTCTCCTTTCACTTCTCAGGAGTACTTTGAGTATGTCAGTTTTTACATTTAAAGCTGGAATTTGTTTTGGTGGAATATGAAATAGATATTCAACTTCATTTATAGCTATCCATGTATCGTACCATATTTTAATGAGTAAGCCATAGTCTTCCGAGTTGAAGTCATATTTGTCCTCTACTAAATCCTCCCATAGCTGAGTCTATTTTTAACTTTTTTATTGGTGTTCTTGTTATGATCTACCTAGTTATATGCTAGTACCAAACTCAACTTTCCTGGCAAGCCTTGCTTCTTTTTTTGTACATACTTTAGAATCAGCTACCCAGTACTTTTTACTGAGATTGCATTAAACTTGTTTAAAAAAAAAAAAAAAGACTTGTAAAACTGGGCTGTGTATCCAAGAGTATGAACAGCCACGTATTTGACTTTTTCCACTGAATTTTTTTTTAAATACAAGTTTCATATTTGTAGTACTGTATCTTGCTTATTGGTAGGTATTTGCTCCTCTTCTGATATTCAGTGGGGCTATTTGTAATATCTTATAATGGCTATGATTTATGTAACCAAAAACTTTGGATACCTGTAATGTTTTCTACTCAATGACTATTTAACTTTCAGCTGAACTCTTAAGCTTTATAAATTATCTATGAATACTAATTTTACCTTTTCTTCCATTTCTAATACCTCTAAATCCTTCCACATACTAAATAATTCTAAGTTTTAAAGTCTCTTGAAAGCATAAATTATAGCAGTACCGTGTATGCTTTTCAGATACCAGTAAAATGCTCTGCATTGAAGTTTATGGCTAGTCCTATTATAAAGTGCTAATTCTGAGTCAGTCCTGATTCATTTACTTCTACCATTTAATCAATTCTAGACAAAAATGACACTAAAATTTTATTCTAAAGAGATAAATCAATTCTCTCCACAGCATGTAACTGTTTTCTTCTCACAATTTTTTTCCTCACAATAAAATCTCATGTATTTTTCAACAAAATAAGCCTTTAACTTTTAGTTTTTTTCCTGGACTTACGGTTTCACTTTTTAAAATTATACACATTAGGAGGGAGATAGAAGGGAATGGGAAGGAAAAGTAAAAGAGAACTAAGATGTGTTATGTTCATGTGCAAACTTCCCATAATAGATGTAATCATGTGCCACAAATATGTACTGGTAAAACAATAAAAGGGATTGGGGGCATAGCTCAGTAGTACAGTGTCTGCCTGGCAAGTGCAAGGTCCCGAGTTTAATTCCTGGAACAAATATATGAATATTATGTGGAAAATGATCAGTAAAGCTTAAAAACAAAACATCTAAACCAAACATTGAAATAAAAGTCTGAATGCTATAAACCATGCCAAAAAAAAACTAGTTACTTTATAGTTAAAATATTTCAAAATTCTGCCACTAATCTAGATAGGAGAATACAGATTGTTCATCAAAGAATATAAAATTAGAAGCTTCATTTTTTTTTTTTTTTTCTTTTTGAGACAGGGTCTCTCTAATGCAGTTCAGGCTGGCCTTGAGCTCACTTTGTAGCTCAGGCTGGTCTCGAACTCACAATGATCCTCCTGCCTCAGCCTCCCGAGTGCTGGGATTACACGCATGAGCCACCATGCCCGGCTTAGAAGCTCTATTTTCAAAAGCATGTATTTATTCTCTAGTCCATTTTCAAATGTCTTAAGAATCCTAATCTCTTAATTAACATCTCAAGATGAAGCAAAAGCTAGAAATTAAAATTCAGGGAAGTTCAGTCAGAAAAGTAGCTCTTGAAATTGCCTGCAAAGTGGATAAATATTGATAGATTCTCCTACAGAGCTTTAAGACACTCCCCAGAGCAACTCTAAACCTCTTCTCAACCTTCCTAAGGATGCTCTTGTACTACTTCCATCATTACTTCTTCCTTGGACTTTTTAAATGGCTGTGTGCATTACACTTCACAATCCCAACTCTCAAAACATGAACTATATCCCCAATGTGTAAATACTGACACTACCATTAATCCATCAACTGAGAATTCAGACATCTACCCAATGAGCTTGTATCATCACCAAGATGTAAATCCTGACCACAGTAGTGATATAAAGGAGAGCTAGTTTTAATTATTCACTTGGATAAATGAAGTAGTACCCACATAGCTAATGAGTATCAGTGATGAGATTATGCCTCATTATTTTATGTGTTGCCTCTATTCCTTGCTTCATTCTCAGCTAGATTCCCATGAGGCATTTGCAGGTTCCTTTTAGCATTTCTTGGTGTGCACATTTAAATGTCAAATTAAAACTTCATTTGCATTTACATGCAAATATGATAATTTGCCTTTAATATCCCATTAAATGTGTTGACTTATTTACAGGTGAAGGTATACAAAATTTCAAGGTGCAACGAAATCAGAAAATAAAAACAAAAAAATACACTATCTTTAAAGACTGAAGCTAAAAATTTTACACACAGTTTTTGGTATCAAAAAACTGAATCTTGGACACAATGTTTCCAAAAGTGTGGTAGAACAGCGAACAGCTTCAGTTATTTATTGCTTTGAAATGGTTTAATAGGCATCACTCTAACCAGATTTCAGGAACTGTATAGTGTAAGAGAAGTCAAGCAAAACTGTGATGCAAGAAAAATTAAGTGTCCTTTATATAAAGGCCACATAGCCAGGTTTTAATTTACTGATCACAGATAAAGAGGTATTAGCTAAACCTCAAGTGACTAAAAGGTTATAGAAACAGTTCTTGTCTTCCCTAATGATCATAAAGTTAAAGCTGATTTGTCATTCTATTAGGAATTATACAAAATTCGCCACTTTCATTGAGTAGTTTTTTCCTTTCAAAGCAGTGTATGGGTTAGACTGGCATTTTAAAAAAACATTAATACTGTAATCTTTTCACTATATTTATCTTAATGGCTACTTCTAGATCCTTAGCTAATTTTAATGCTCCAAAACACGTCTTATCCACTTTGATTTCTCTTAAGTAATCTGCTCTAGAACTCATGAACAGAAAAGGATGGTAAGTCACTCACCAGATTGACTATCAATCGCTATCAACCTCTATCACTGCACAGTTAAGTTTATAGTTCTGCATTTAAGAAATTCCTCTAATATTTAAGCTTAGTCCCACTACAGTCTGCCAACTGAGAACTCCTTACATATGATAACTTTGCAAATAATTCTAGATTGTATTTTTACAAATTTTTGAATGGAAGAGGCATCACTAGATTTTTATTCTCAGCAGAGCAGCAAGCTCAATGTTGAATACTATGAAATAGCCTTATGGGAACACAGTATGGAGAAACCTTCAGTGAATTGTTAAGTGTAGAATGCAGAACTCACAATGTGTCATCTATCTTCCTTAACAATGCCATCTGATCATCTTCTCTAAAGTTCACTTGGAATTATCTCCTTCATAAATTTCTGTGCCACTATATACAACTCTTTTAATGACGAATTATACATCATCTTCAATTAAAGAGTACAGCCAAACCTAAAAGATTAATATGAGATTCCATTTTGGGAGGTGCTGTAAAGCTCCCGGAAAAGATGAATAATTTTGTCACCCAGGACACCGCCAAAAGTCTTCAAAGGACTTTGTTCTTGCTTGGTTTTCCTTTCCAGGGCAATTAAATTTTAAAGAACTGACACAAATCATTAAAATTACTTCCCTTTGGTGAATAAATAATGCAGACGGAAAAGTTCTCAACAGCTGGCTAGTGGACTATTTTAAAGAAACATTATTTTACTTTTCAAAAGTATCCAATAGGGTCCCCAACAATTTAACTTTACTATGTTGTAATATCAAAAATATCCTTAAAAGAAACTGGAGAGATGATCACAAAATTCAGATATTCATTAAACTATTTTTACTTTTATCTTCAACTTCAGACAATAAAAAGGGAATTCACATTCCAATTACAAGAAGGAATTTAGAAACATACAAGCTGGCCTGTGTTGCAATTCAAAAAAGCCCTAATATGACTCGGGAAAGAATTATGTACTGGGTTTATCACATGGTGCCAAGACAATATAAGTCAAAGGCAAAGAAAATGGTATGACTGCTCTTAAAATTGTCTTTCTCCTAGGTACACACACACACACACACACACACACACACACACACACACACACAGCAGCTGTTCAGATAAACAAAAAGGCATCTGTTTCTTCACTGGTACCACAAAATCTGGAAAAGCAGTTTAGGCTAAAAGATTACTTCATTATTCCCTGGAAGCCAGAAAATAAATTATTCTGTTGCAACCTGGCTTGAAAAGGTATTATTTACAAGATTTAAAAACACTCTGTCCACTTTTACCTCAAATCCACAATCCCAACAATGAATATTCTCATTACTTTACCTCAAAAATTTTACTGACATGTTTGAATACATATAGAATGTGAACATCTTTTCTGGTTGATCTCATATTCACAGAAATCACCTCTTGAATTAGAGGCAATGGTCATCAGTTCCCCAAAGTAAACTCTTTAAGTACAAACCTGTGGTTATGGGGCTCCTCTGTTGTGTTACATGTACATGGGGCATATAGCAGACCTTCAACCAATGAATCAGTCACAATACACTCAAAGTTCTACATTGTTTAAAAGAGCACATAGAAACAATTTTTAACCACAAAAACTTGGGTTTAACCTATCCGGGCGTGGTGGCACATGCTTGTAACCTCAGCATCTGGGAGGACTGCCAGGAGTTTGAGGACAGACTGGGCTACATAATGAGTTCAAGGCTGGTCACTACATAGCAAGACCCTGTTCAAAAAGCTAAAACCCAAACCAAAAAAGAATTCACATTACAAGCCAAATATGAAAGAATATGTTTATTCTAGAGCACACGTGTTTTAATCTTTTGTCCTGACACTCATGAACAGAGACATAGTCTCACGTAATTACTGCATACTGCAACGCTCTCCAAATAGGGAGATTTTATATCTCCCTAAGTTAACACAGGTATTAAGAGCTTGCACTGGCACTCTGCTTTCCCTATTTCCACTGGCAACAGAAACCATGAGTTTGATTTGACCTTTCCAGAATGCTACTCTTTAAGCTTAATTTGTGACAAATAGAAAACATCTCAGAGTCAAGTATGAAAACTTCTAGAGTTGTTGCCACTTGATTTAACTTTTTTAAAAAAGTTATGATTCAAGTAAGTTTGATTCTGATTTATTTTTGCCAGGTTGCCCAATTGAGGATGTAACTTGACATGGGCGTAGTTACTGTACCTAAGACAGAACTGAAAATTTATAAAAACAAAATATAAATTTAAAAATTGATACATGAAAGACAAAATTGTCAACAATGGTTATCTCTAAAGAGGGATGTGGGATGGTGAGTAAAAAGAAATCCAAAAGGACTTCTGTTTTTTACTCCCCCCCCACCCCGTTTTTTTACTTTAAAAGCATAGCTCAAACAAGGTTGAAAGTCTGGTAGCATGAAGTCCTGTTATACAAAGCTACTCAGAGTTTATAAAGACTTGTTTTAGTTTACCCTGTACTCTTTCCTCAACAAATGCTTTTCTTCATCTTCCCTCAAATAAAATCATATTCTAAGAAAAGAATTTGCTCAAGTTCAAGTCCAAATTTTGTATACTAGGAAGCCACAGTATAAACTCCAAATGAATTTTAAGCTGATACTTTTCCAGTTTCCAGACTTACATGACTAAAGGAGACACTAATTCTAAGTACTAAATTGTGTTTAAATTCCATGATAGTAATGAGACACACATAATTAAACAGATTCCTTTTGGGAGGATTTCATGGAGAGTCAGAAATTCAAAAAGAGAAAGAAAGGAAAGAAAGAAAGAAAGAGAAAGAAAGGAAAGAAAGAAAGAAAGAAAGAAAGAAAGAAAGAAAGAAAGAAAGAAAGAAAGGGTTGGGGATTTAGCTCAGCGGCATAAGTGCCTGCCTGGCAAGCACAAGGTTTTGAGTTCAATCCCCAGTACCCCTCTCCAAAAAAAAAAAAAAAAGAAAGAAAGAAAGAAAAGAAAAGAAAAAGAAAGAAAGAGAGAGAAAGGAAAGGGAGGGGAGGGAAGGGGGAGGGGAGGCACATGAAAAAGACGTAGGAGAAAAAATGAAAAAGGCAGGTATTTACTGAACTCCTTCCTGGACAGGCTGGTAAGAGAAAAAGCAAGTTCCAAAACATATGCATAGGGAGACAAAACTTACATAAAAATTCAAGAACCAAAAGACTATGCTATTTCTACATGTAAATACATGTATATAAATGCATAGCAAAAAAGCAATTGAGTTAACCACAGAACAATAGTTATCACTTTGGAGAGCAAGCAAGGGCACTTTTATATTATTTTTCCTAGAATGCAACCTTATAGAATTAAAATAAAAACAAGAAAACGTTTGTTTCTAGTAAGCACTGCATACATTTTCTTAAAATAGCTTTCTATTAAAAAGTTTGGCAAACATAATTGTCTTTCTTCCCCAATATTATTATACTTTCATATTTGCAATTCCTTTCCTTTTGCTCTACCCATGTTCACATTGAAGGGAATTACTAGTTTTTAATTAAGAACCTGATAATAAAGAGATGATACAACTGCTAAGAAGTATGAAAATAATGATGAGAAACAGAATAGTGGGAATTAAGGCCACCCAGTAGGCAACCACATCTCAATTTGTAACTTCAAGGTTATATATTTGGAAGTATGTACAAGGTTTCTAAAGTGAACAAGATAAAGAACAAAAGCCTAACTGAGTGTATAGTGTAGTAACTTGCCATGTTTACTGAAAAGAAAATGCTGCAGTAGATAAGCTAACAATAGCAGAGTTTTTCACAAAAGATTATATATACATCTCAAATAGCACAAGCAACACTAAAAGATCTATCAAATTAAAGTGGTATTTGTTTAGAAGACAGGCATTTCTTTGAATTGGAAACTCTTAAAAAGTATTTTTACTACATACACTAAAATACAATTAGAAAAATTTTGCTAAAAATTGTAATTGCTTTCTTGAGAAAAGACGATCAAAGTCAAAACATATGCATAGCATGAATTTTGGTCTACAACACCAACTATACTACTGTCGTAAGTGATTAAAAATTAACCACATAGGATTGATGCCTATGATAAAAATCAAACAAATGTAGCTCCATGAATTATAGTTTTTAATTATTAAAATCTGGGTAGTAAAGTTTGTACTTTAGAACAGTCCTTGGGGATCTATTCAGTTTCTTTAAATGTGTTTGCCTCTTGATCACTACTACTTACATTCTTTTCTAGAAGATCTGAACATCCTAAATTTGGTCACACATGAATCCCTTGTATTCCTTCTTTCTCACACTGTATCTACAAAGAAAACTGAAGCTTTACAATAGCAAACATAAAGCCAAAAGGTAAATTTTGAAAGTTAATGGTACAGGTCAAAGTACTTCTACATATAAGTGGTTATTATAAGGGTAAATTATACTATACTATCTGAGGATAATATATAAGACCAATGATCTACTCTTGTCATCACTTTATAACACAGAAAATTGCATATTACATATTAAAAGTATCACAATCTCCTTTTAAAAAATGCTCTATGTATTTGGCACAATGCATATTCTGCCTTATTTAGAAACTATATAATAAAAGCAATTCAGTTTTCAAAGTAATTTAAAAAACTGTCAGGTTAAAAAAAGAAAAACTATCAAGTTGTAGTTTTATATCTACTTGACTTCCATTCTTTTATCTTTTTTCTATTTTGTCAATTTTGTCTTCTATTACTAAAAACCTAAAATTCTTTTTCTTTTTTTTAGTTTAATGGTAAAGAAAAAACTCCAGTATACATGGTTATTATAAAATTTTTTTTTTATATTAAGTAACAGCCAAAGGGCCTTAGGGTATTCTCAGGAGATATCCTAAGACAAAACAAACATTCATATTTCATTCAACATGATGCTTCTTTTCAGGTTACTGCTTGCCCTCAAACTGTTTTAGTATGTATTTTAAAAATACTATTCTTCCCCTATAATCACAAACTAAAACAAGAAGCAGAATACCCAGTATCATTACAGAAACAATTATTCTATACTTTTAACCTAATAATACTCAGGTATTTTTAATGACTATTTTAGACCAATTTTCAACCACGTATGTAAAGTGTATATATACTAGTTGAAAAAATATTAACTCTACTTATTATTTTTACTACACACCACCATATTTGTGTCATCTTCCTATAGCACAATTACTGGGACAGGAATAAAAAGATGTATTAGAGAGATGAAGAAAGTATCAGGAAAATTACCCCAGCCTTAGTTTATCATCTCTTTCTTTTGTACATACACAGCAGTTGGCTGGTACTCTTTAATTACCCTTTCACCTAGTTCTTTCTTAAAGACCTTGTGGGCTTTAAGCAAAAACATATACACCATACCCTTTCATTGCTATACCCTTTTAAACCTATCAGGGACCATAAAGTCTTCAGGTTATGAAAAATACATAGAAACCCTTGAGAAAACAATGGAAAAAATATGGAGAACAGTTATGTTCTACCAATCATTATCTATGAACTCTAGAGCAAAGGCTCCTATTGAGGATATATACCATTAAGAAAGAGAATAAAAACCAAGCACAACTCTCCAATTATCAAGTTTTACAACTCTTGGAATAAAGCTCAATTTCTTCTCCAGTTTAAAAACTGTATTTCACTCCAGTAATAAGAACTTATTTTCCCATCTATAATGCAAAGAACGGCAAAGTCTTTTTTTACTTCCTCTAAAAGAGATGGAAGGGCAAAAGCCAATTTTTCTGTGAAACTCAAGGTTCCCACTGTCTTCCACCTCCACATAAACAAGAACTTCACAGGAAACCACCAATAGGCTACACTGAGTCCCTTCGCCCTATAAAAGACCATTTCCACCTGTCTCCCTGACTCCCTCTCCCACCATCCTCACACACACACAGCAGAGGGCAGTGTGGCAAGGGCAACAGTTAAAGTAGGTAAAGTGTGGGGCACAGAACACTTAATACTAAACTAAAATTCAAACATCATGACACCCAGGGGTCAAGTCGTTCAACTTCTAACCCATTTGGGCAGCTTTCAGTTATTAAATGAATAATACGGTAGTACTTCTTCAATAACTCAACCCCGTATACCTACTTAACTGCACATGCTAACATCTTTATTACATACTACTGCTTATGAGAAGTAAATCGAGGGACCATACCGTTATATCTTAGACATAACATTTACTAGTTTTCCAAGCATGACAGAAATGGAAAAATATATATATTAGAACAAGAACAATTTACGTTAATTTCCACAATCTGTGTTCCTTTTGTGACCAGTGCCTGATTCTATCAAAATTAACAAATTTAAATTTAGTTCTATGCTGAAGAAAAAAAATCTAATGAAAGACTAATTTACAAAGTATACAAGAATATAATTTTACAATAAATCTTTCCAGTGTTTGCTAAATCTGTGTTATATGAAATGCCTCCTTCCACTGAAACTCAGAAGGACAGCTCTTACAAAATGAACAGAACTCTGTGTTCATCTCTGACAAGCAATAAACAAATAGAACTTGCTCACAGGGACATGAAAGTGCTACTTCAGGGGCGTAAATTACCACTAACACGCTACAGAAATAAGTCTTGGTGAGTCGCTGTATCTGGAATCTTGTCCTCTCTTCTTATGCCAGGGAATCCATTACATATAAAGCCTAAGAGAAAACTAAAGCTGTTACAGAAGTGAAACTCGGCATGCTCCTCTCAAATTCTTCTAAGATAACCATTCTAAAGCAAAATCAAAAGTCATCTTATTTTATTAAAATAAAAACAAAAACAGAAAACCCAAACCAAAAGGCAAATGCTGCTGTTCAATCATCGGATGGACTTATTGAGGCAAAAAAAAATGTGACAACAGCAATATTTCAAGTAAAGTATGTGTGAAAATTTAAACACACCACTTTCAAGTTAAGACAAAAGTGAAGGGGGTATGATGATCTTTATATTAGAGTCAAAAAGCTTAGGCATTATCAACAAATGTTAATTCACTTTACAGTCATCAATGAGGCTATTGTATATATATTTTTGCACCTTGCGCTTGTAAAAGCAGATAAAATATTTAATGTTATTTACAATGTATTTTACCAGCTCAGCATACAGGATGTATATAGATTATATCAAAGTAGTAGACAGTTAGGGGCCTGTGCAAACCCTGCAAAAATAGTACTTCAGGTATCTGCTAACTAAAAACAAACTGTTTGCTGTTTAGGAGTAATACAATTCAAACTACCACAAAATACAAAGGGCTGCAAAATTGCATACCATTCCAACAACATATATAAGTTATTAAATAAAGATCTGATTTAAAAGAATATAAATGAAGCCTTTAAGTAGGTCTTTTCTACATGCATATTATTTCTCATTAAAGAAAAAAAATATGTAAAAAGGCCATTGGTAATTGCTTTGTTAACATTTGTAGAAAATGCCAATTCTCTGTTCACAAACTCCACTAAGTTTAGCACTTAAGGTCTCTGCAGTGTTATAAATGTAATTTAAAATACTGTTAATTCTATAACTCCATTGGTAAAATAATGTGACTTGAAATATGGCAGTCTTCATGTTGAGGGCAATGATCCACAGTTTTGCTGTTTCCATTTCTTAAGTGTGAACAGTTATCCAGAAGAACAACATCCTCCACCACCACTCTGAGCTTGAGGTTCATCGTCGATAATCTGTACACCTCGCCTTGCAGCTCCTGGCTGACTGGAGCCATTGCCTTTCGCCCTCTCATCTACTTGTGCCGTTTCTATCATCCCTAAGAGAGGAAAAATGGAAAAATTATTAGAAATGTAATCTTTTGAGATTTCTTCTTCTGTGACTTCAATATTTGACTATGACAGTGATTTTCAACTTTCAATCAAGAACTCACTGTCAGCTCAATAGAGCTTTACTCACCAATTTTAAATAACTAGCAGCAAATAGCAAGCATATATATCTAGTTGTACAATGAACAACTGATGAGAGGGGGAGAAATCATACACCAGAACACAAAACAGAAAATAAAATTTCCAGAAGAAAGTAACAGGATAAAAATCTCTGTAGGGGAAAATTTTTGTGACTTTGGCATAAAGATTTCTCATGTAAGACAAAAAATACAAATCATAAATAGGAATATTAATTGGACTTCATTATAATTTAAATCTTCTGCTCTTTGAAGGACATGATTAAAAAAATACAAATTTAGTACAGACTGGAAGAAAATATTTACAAAGTATGTATCTAGGAAAATGAGAAAAGAAAGAGTAAATTCTTAAAACAACAAATATTTGTAAATTTGAGTACAGACCCAACAATAAATATTTGTAAATTTGAGTACAGACCCAAATTATGAAGAATTCATGCTTATGAAGAATGGTTTCCAAATTAAGATGTGTGGGACAATCCAATGAGATGAAAGAAAACATAACTTATTTGTTCTCAATCTTTCAAACTTTCTGTGTTTAGGTATGTTTAAAAATGTACAAACTATATTAGTGCTTGCATCTGTAACATGACTTTTAAATAAACATGGGGAACACTCAAAGGTTTTTAAAAGAATAAGATTTATCACACTGGTAAGTCACTGATCTAGAACTGTCTACTCAAAGTACGGTCTGAAGATTGATACCACCACCAGTTGAGTACTTGCAGAAAAAGGAACATCAAGTCACAAGCAATCCTCCACACAATAATACTCATTTTAACAAGATTCTCACATGATTATATTATAGCAATTTTTTTTTTGGGGGGGACAGTTTCTCACTATGTAGCCAAGCGGCCTCAAACTCATAGTAATCCTTTTGTCTCAGTTTCCCACATGCTAGGATAACATGTGTGTACCACCAAGCCCAGGTTGTTTTTCACACCTGGTGTACAACAGATTCACATGGGCAGTTTATTACATACTGATTCAGGGACCTGATTTATACAATCAGTACTCTAGAATTATAAATGACTTTAAAGTTCTCTAAAATTGAAATATAAACCAAAATTTATGTTTGTGTTTAAGAAGGCATTTTTTTTAAGAGAGAAAAAAACGTAAGTTTCATCACATTCTCCAAAAGGTATTTCAATCCATTGTTTCATAGATTAGACTTTCCTAAATATGATACACACCCTATTACTAACATGAAAAATGACTTTCAGGTTGTATAAAAACAAACTTATTTTCCTTTCTCTTTAAAAAAAAATAATATAGAAATTTTCAAACATATTTCTATTTTTATAGAAAAAACCAGAAGAATGAAAATCCATCACCTAATTTTATCCATCTCCCTAACCATCTCTACCATTATTTCGAATCAAGTCCTAGACACAATTTTAGTTGAATTACTGTAATACAGATCTCTAAAATGGAACTCTTTAAGTAACAACACTAATATCATAACTAAAAAATTAATAAACATATCAAATATCCAATAGGTGTTTATGTATTTCTAATTGCTTCACAAATGTTCATTTCAATAGTTTGTCAAATCAAGATTCAAAGACGGCCTAGATTGTTAAATGTGTTTTAATCTGTAAATTTTTCTTCTATTTTTAAGTTATGTATTATTTTTCCTTTTCAATTATTTGTTATGAATATATGCTAAACCTTTGATTTCATAGTTATTAATTACTGATAAAAAACATGTCTATAGTACTTTAAAACGAGCCATTTTTAAGTATACTAACTATATACATACTTTTACAAAGGTCAAGAAAAAGCTCCTCAATTCCTTTATTCTGTTTGGCTGAGGTATGATAATGCTTTGCTCCCACAGATTCTGCATACCTAAAGAAAAAAAAGGAACATCAGTGATTGATAAAACATTTGAAATTTTTTGTAGTAGCAGTATCTGTGACTTAACAGTTTCACTTAGCAAATCCCAGTACTTTGCCCAAGTTTAGTCAAATTAGGATTATATAGCTATTCAACTTCTGCAGACATTAAACCAAATTTTAAGTAACATAAACATAATAAGACTTGACATTTTTATCCATTAATTTAGAACTCAAATATTTTAACTGCCTAACTACCTGATCATGATAGCTTTTATACCTTTCTTGCATTTTTCACTGAATCTAAAAGAGAAAGTGAAATATCTTTGAATATTGCTAGAAGTCTAGAAATTGCCAACATAAACATGCTTCTTTCAGCTCAATGCATCTTAAGAGGTGTGAGAAATACCTAAAGCACACTGTACAAACAGGAAGACTTTCTCTTGGGAAGGAACGGGAGTGAGTGTACATGAGTGTAGCAGACGGACAATACTTACGATTCTGCTTCTTGAATGGAAACATGTCTCTCCTTTTCCAAGTCTATTTTATTACCTGATTTGAGAAAAGTAAATAATACTCTTAATATTTGTTCTTTTTTTTAAGTAAAACTTGGCCAATTCTAAACCACTGCCATTTTAGTTACCTGAAAAGATTACACAAACTCCCATCAAACCTGCCTTAAAACTACAAAGTTAATCCATATGATATGAATACTGTTCACGACTGCCCAGGTGAATGCCTCAACCTCCTTTAAATGGACAAATGCTTATTCCTGCTGCATCTACAGTCTGTCGGAAAAAATCCAACTTTTCCTAAGAGAAGGGCCCTATTCTTCAATTTAGGATACACAAGGGACAAGGATTGCCTAGGTAACCTATGACTAAATGAACAATTTTTAACAATTTTTAAGTCTAAGTGGTTAAAAGAGCAAAACTTTTCTCTGTTCCTCAACTAACTTAAAATCATTCAATAATTAAGTTCTCTCATAGTTTACTAAAATAAATCACAATAGCCTCTGGAACCCTAAGAGTATTCTTTTTTCCAGGGTAATATAAACTGGTTAAAGAAAGAATTAAAATATACGGATTTTTTAAGTACTCCTCCTCCATAGGAATTGCAACATGTCTGTATTAACTGTTTGAAAATAACTTTAGTTGACTTTTTATTAGAACTTTACCTATGCATGAAGCTTTTAAATTGCTGAAAGTAAGTTTAGCTCTCCTCAAAACAATGGAACCAATCTGAGACTATGCTTAAAAGCCATCAAAATGACAATGAAGATACTGTAAAATGCAGAGTCCTTATTGAGCACAGAATGTGATTTGGCTGGACACAGTCCCAAGGTAATAAAATAGAGAAAAAGGAAAAAATACCCAAAGAAAGTACACATTAAATGTTTTCCTTTCTTCTATCATACTTGGGGAACAATCTTACAATAAAGGTATTTTTCCCCCTTCGGGACTTTATAGTGTTAAGGCAACTTTAGATACATTTTAAATAAAGCACTGAAGTAAGCATCTAATGAAAGGTGCCATGTTTAGTACCGAAGTGTAAGTCCAGAGGTTTTGTATATCTGAAGACCTTATATTGCCTCCTAACTGCTGCCAGTTGCAAGAAACTATTTACTACCCCAGTCTAAGGATGAGAAGGAGAGAACTAAAGAATACTATGAAGCTCAGTAGGTAACCATAAAGCTGGTAATAAGTTTTGTCTTCTATCAACAGCTGCCTGTCTCAGCAAGAGGCTCCATATTATTCTGATGTCCTGCTTTATTTGTCAACCAAAAGTTTAATTTACAAAATATTATAGCCAATATATCTCACAGGAACCAGTGAGAAAACAAGTTGTTTTATTCTATAAAGAATGCAAAAAGCACCATCTGGTGGCAGGCAGCTCTAGCAAACAGGCACAAGATTCTGCCTCTAAAAAGTAAAACAAGTAAGTGTCTCTTAGAGACTCTTAGGAGATCTTTGTTTCCCTTAACCAATCACTATGAATTTTTTTCTAATCTTTAATTCCACATTTTCCAAATTTTACCACAAGCATCCCCACATACAAAAACATTAAGGATAAGAAAAGCAGGTAGTCATTTTATAGCATAAAATGAATATTAAGGGGAAATTATGATACTGGCTTGTGATTTAATATTATAAATGACTAATTTTAATAAAATAATTACTATAACCATTTTAATAACCTAAATACTGGTTTAAATTAAGACACTGAAAAATCTATGAACTAACTACTGCTACTTGGAACAATCAGTACAGATTATATTACAGAAAAATGACTTGTGAGTAACTGACATTCTTGTAAAGCCTACAGTCTTTTGTAAGGGTTTGGGACATAGCTTGGCAGCACAGTGCCTGCCTGGCCAAGTACACGGTCCTGAGTTGACTTCTGGTACTCTTCCTCCCAAACATCTTTTGCAGTTTCTATCTTCTTTAGAAAGCAAAAAAGCTACAGTACTAAGTTTCCGAGGATACCTGTTGCGATACTACTCTGCAACTACTCAGGAATCAGGGAATTTTATGATAGGCTTAAAAGACCTAAAAGCGAGGGGAACTAACCCCTGTAAGCACCTACTTCAAGTTATAGTACTATGAAGGTTAGGCACACACACTCACACACACTGTCTGAGGAAGGGGAGAAGTCACTTAATAGCAGAATAAAGAAAAAAACCAGACATGGTGGCTCAGGTCTATAATCCCATCTTTCAGGAGGGTGAGTCAGGAAGATCTTAAGTTTCTAGGGTAACCTGGGTCACCTAGTGATCTTATCTCAAAAAAAAAGCATTAAAAAAACACCACTTTTCCATCTTTAAAAATATATATTAGAATAAATATATTGAAGGGGATTGACTATATTGAAGGGTTGTTCAGTGGTAGACAACCTGCTTAGGATGATCAAAGTCCTGAGTTTGATTCCCAGCCCCTTTTCCCAGAAATGGAATAAATATGCTAAGAGTGGATAGCCTAATAATGAGTAAGAACTAGCATCTGTAAAGTAGAAATGGTCTTCCTATATAGCACTTCCAGGACATCTAAGTGAAGTAATACGTGGTTCACAGAACAGTGCCTGGAATATAAATGGTAACTATGATTAGTGATAAATACACACTGTTTAATAAACATGCAAGTGTTAAAGGAAGAGTAGGTGCAGAATAGTAGGGGGTAGAAACACCATAGCTAAGAGTGTTAATCAGTGTGTTAAGGACAACTGCGAGGTAAAAGTTTGCTAGTAAAGTATAGATTTCTCTGTAACTGATTAACACATGGTGATATTATCAGTAGCCTAGGAGACTGTAAAAGGTTAAGCATGCAATTTACACATAAACAAGCAAACTGTAAATCAAACATTTTATTCAATGATGCTTGAAATTCCCATAGATTTAAATAATACATGAAATAATTACATTTAAATAATTATATGAAAAGACTTCAGATTTTTTTATTAACTCAAGAAATAGTTGATTGTGGCTGATAAAAAGTTTATGTAATCTTTACCAATCTTGATAGTGTGAACAATCAAAGAGAGAGAGAGAGAAGCCCAGTGTGGTGGTGTGCACCTACAGTCTCAGCTACATACTTGGGAGGCCAAGATACTAGGATCACTTGTTCCTAGGAGTTCCTAGGAGCCCAAGCCTGAGCAACTTGAACACAGTGAAAGCTTGTCAACTGAGGGCAGTGGGGGAGAATGTACACATAAGTATACATTGGCTGAACATTTAGATTCTGTTTATTTCAAATATAGGAGACATAAAACATTAGAATTTACCTATGAAGAAAACAGTCATGATGAGGAGAATCTCTGAAAGGTAAGCTAAATGAAAAACAGATGAAGATCTAAAAAACGTAAGACTTCATAGGAACCATTCAGGTGTACTTCAAATGTTTGCAGAGTTGTCTTACAGACAGGGAAAGGAGTAAGTGCTTGTCAAATGCTGATGTCTCTCCAAATGTTTCCCACATCATTATATAATCTTCACTACAATCCTGTATGTTAGTAGTACTATTTCAAAATTAGTAATAAAAGAGAAGAGAAACACTGATCACTACAGGAAACAGAACAAAATAGTTAGAAAATGGTAATATGGAATATTAATGGAATAAAGTACTGAACAGCAAAGAGAATAAAATAACCTACAACTAAAGGAATCTTGGTAATATAATGTAAAGCCAAAGAAGTTATGCCATGAAAAGAGTTCATAGTAAATGATTCCATTAATATAAAATTTAAAGCAAAACTAAATCATGCAGTAAAAAGTCAGGACAGTACCTGGAGAGTGGGATATGAAGGGAAAGTAACTGACAGTATTGAGAAAAGAAAGATGCACAAAGGGGGCCTAGGTGGGGCCCACGGGCACTACTGACACTGAAATTTTCACTGGGTGAAAATTATGTTGTTACTGAAATTTGTATGCTTTTCTGCACACATGTCGTTTTTCAATAAAAAGTTCAATAAATGGGATGGGCATGGTGATGCAGGCTCCTAGCAACCACGATGCCCATAGTTGTGCAATAGTAGCACTTGGGAAGCTGAGGCAGGAAGAACAGTGAGAGGCCGAAGCCAGCAGGGGCTACACAGTGAATTCGAGGCCAGCCTCGAACGCATAGTGAGATTCTGTCTTAAAAACAAAAAAAAAAGGCTGAGGATGCAGGTCCATATTTAAGCACTTGTCCGGGACAAGTGAGGCCTTGGGTTGAACCCCTAGCACCACATGTGTATGTACCCACACACCCCCTCACAATAGAAAGCAGTAAGTAAAGGTTACAGGAAGTATGGTGTCAGCTCATATGGTTGAACTGAACACTGGAGAGGCAGAAGCCTTGCAGGTTTAGCTTCTATTTGTTAATCCAAGGAATTCCTGAAGTAGCATTTGAGCTTCCTGAAAAAAATCACCTCCAAATCTCATTCTAAAGTACTAAACATTAAGATATCATAATTCTTTTCTCATATCATTTAAAACAAGAATGATTATTTACTATGTCTTTAATAACAAGAACATTTAATGATGCTAATAAAGAACAATTAATGAACTAATGATGCTTACCAACTATACAGAGACAGATTTCATTTCCCAACATTTTCCGTAATTCTTTGACCCAGTTTTTTACCTGTACATATAAAACAGCAAATATTAAAACAAATCCTGTTAGAATTACTATTACAACACCTAAGAAGTCTACATTGCAGAAATATCTCTGACTTTTGCATAACAGTTCATATATTTGGTATTAATATGAATGACTGGCTTAAGGATCAATTATTACCACATTATATTGCATACCATATAAAAACACCCAGTGGAAAGATCTGCTTTCATTTCATGGTAAACAGCCATTGGTATACAACAACTATAGAACAGAGTTCTACTATCCATGAAGCACAGCTGTACACTGCTAGGAGTACACTGGAAATAAGCAAATTAACCTGTTTAATTTACACTTTTAAATATTATAATGAACTAGCAAGATAACAATACAAATTATGCTTTCATTTCTTGTAATCAATCTGTAGGTAATCAAACCAGAGAGAATTTATATACATTCCTTAAAAAACTCCACACACATCTACAAATTACAAAGATTACATTAGATACACGGTAAGCACTTATTGTCACCTGATCCTATGGTACAAATTTAACAGTTCCACATTCCTATTCTCTGCAAGAATGCAGGGAATTATCTTTAGTAAACCCAAATATCCTTACAAAAGCCAAGGTAAGTATTATCAGCACCTTATTTTTATAACACAATGAACCAGTTTTCTTGCTACAGCCTCTTTTTGTTTCATTTACATACATGTGCAAAGTTTTCAAAGCACTTAATTTAGTTTCATATAAGAAAAAAACGATAGTATGAGTATAAAGTATACATCCTCACTGCCTCAAAAGAAACACACCAAAATCCAATCAGCATATTATTCTACTCCTTGATCACATGGTATCACAATTTGCTAAACTAACCAATTTTTTAAAGAGACTATTACTGGAGCAAGGCTCTAGGTTCTCTCACCCCCACCAAATAAAATACTTGCTTACTCATTTTCCCATTAGATCCTCTTCCACAGGTGTCCTAATCCTAATTCCTATACAGTTTGTGATAAATTAAAGTTAGGCCCAGATGCTCTGCTCATCCTCCTACCAAATCACAGTCAGATTTCTCAACCTTTGAGTGATGGCTGACCTTGTTGCTTGCTTTAATCAAGAGTATGTGACAGTTACAGGCTTAAGCCCTAAGAAGGTCTGGCAACTTTTAACTTTTCGTATTCTTGGAATCCTGTTATCATATAAAATGCTTAATATAGAACATAGAATGATGAGAGGGTATGTGGAGAGAGGACCACACAAAGAATAGCAGGCTATGTGGAGGAAAACCAGGTCTTTTTGGACATTCCACGCCCAGTCACATTCCTGTTCAATGAATGATTTTAGTGCTAACCTATACAGCAGGGGACCTGCCCGGTCAATCTCCAGAATCATGAAGAGTAATAAATTGTCATTTTAAGCCATTAAGTTTTGGGAATTTTGTAAGGTAGCCATAAATAACTTGTTACTTTTTTACCTACCAGGTTCTTTTAATCAATAAAATACTAAAATCATTTCTTTCTATGTGGAAAGTCAGGAAGGGACAAGAAAATAGTATCAAATAGTAGGATCCAAAAACAACTGTTAAATTAGCAAGCTATTTATCATTTCATTTTCTTATTCTCTAGACTACTTTGGCTATGTATTAAGAATCCAAGAGCTAACTTGTATATCTGCTGCATTACATTTAATTGGGGCAAAATGAACAGAAAACAAATAAAAACTAAACTGAAAAGATATGTAATTTCAATAAGAACCTGCAATTCAAGACAAGAAAAGCTTCTGCCTTGTAAAGTATCCCCTTTCATTACACACTGCTCAAAAATTTATTCCAAAAAAGGCTTTAAGAGAAAAGGTCAAAAAAGTAACTCACCCTGATGTGATGAGAATTCAAAGGTAATTGCAGTATTGACTCATTTTTGGTCCCAAACAACTTTAAAAACCCACATTTGTTGGTATTTTTTAAAGAGTTGTTTTAAAAAATGAAACTTTAAATAAGTACTACCTAGATTGTCTTTTAAAAATTTTTATTATATCTTATAGGATGTTCGGTGAGGACAAAGAGCTTAAACTTGATTTTGCTTTACCTTTTTTTTCTTCATGAGAGCGCCTACATGATCACACTGTTTTCATATGCCCCATTTGTTTGGAATCAAAGAAATGTATGTGATTTTTTTAAAAGAAAAAACAAACTTCCTTATTTTTCTGAAGCTTAACTTTTATTTCTCTTCATTCATATTTAAGAAAGCCATGTAGTAAACCAACAAGTAATCTAGTGCGAATTAAATACTCCAATAAAAAAAAATTGAGGGTCCCAGGCCATGCGCAGGCTGCTGCCAGCTTGGGGAGAGCCAGACCCAAGCCTCTCTCCTTGAGTCAGCACCAATGGCAGACTGCAGAGGGAGAGAACCAGACCCCACGGGAGAAGATTCCCTCAGCCTCAGAAACCATATCATTTTCATTGGTTTTTCTTTTGGGTTGGGATTTATTCTCTTTCGTTTTGTTTAACTCTGATGGCATGAGCAGCTATTTGAAAGATAGCAAGCCATGTTAAGGAAGCCATTATGTATTAATACTTGCTTGTTTTGAGGTTCTTTATTGCATTCATTATTTTGTTTTTATTGTTTCTATTCTATCCTGTTCTGTTCAATTTTTACTAAGTCTGAAGGTACTGTCTGCAGCTACTTTAAAGACAATAAAGGCATTGTGCTATTGTTGATTTCAAAAGATTTGCAAGTCCTGTATCAATTATTCTGGTTTATTTTGACTGATCTTATTACATTTTATTTTCCTTGATTTTTTCTTTTTAAAATAAAAAAAAAAATTGAGTGGTCACCATGCTTCATTTATATACAAATCATATACTTTTAAAACTAATCATACTAATGAACAAAAGCATATTAAGAAACATGAAAAACTAGTTTTGCTCTTTTGATTAAGTAACTGCATAAAGTAAACTGAATACCTTCTGAAAAGAATCTTCATCTGTTATATCATAAACTAAAATAGCTCCATTGGAATCTCTGTAGTAAATTGGACCCAATGCATGGAATCTTTCTTGACCTGCTGTATCCTAAATAAAGCAACAAATATTTATTAGATAAGAACAAAAAGATACATCTATTTTAACTTTTAATTAACTGGAAACTAGGGTATAAAGTCATATTTTTAAAAGTTTATAAAAATAAAATTATTTTACAGTCAAGTTATAAGCCCTATGTAACGTTACTATTATACGAATGTTACTTTCCTCAACTCTTCTTTTCCTCAGCAGTTTTCCTGTCCCCACTAAACACCAGTTCTGTTGCCAGATGATGAAAATGATCAATACTGTATGATAAGCCACGAGTATGCTCTGCTCTAAATTTAGACTCCCCACACCGGGACAAAAGATGGGAAGAAGTCAGGCATGGTGGTGCACGCCTGTAGATCTAGCACTTGGGAGGCTAAGGCAGGAGGATTGTTGTGAGTTTGAGATCAGCCTGGACTACAAAGTGAGCTCAAGCCTGGCTTGAACTGCACAGGGAGACCCTCTCCAAAAGACACCCCACCCCAGGCAGAAAAAAGACAGAATGAGGGCATGCCTCAGGACCACCTGCTTAAAGGTACCTTAGAGCATCACTCTAGCTCTACTTTCCACTGGCCACTCCCTTAGAGACTGACACATGGAGACACTGATGGTGGGGTCTCCCCATCCAAACTGATGTCCAAGGAAATCCTTGAATCAACCTTTTGTAGCTGAAAAATTATGACATCAACAATCAAATATAAAATTGTATTCTGAATATAACTCTTAACCAGAATTTAGAAGTATTTTTAATTAAAAAATTTTGGCTTTCAGTTAACTTTAAACATTTGAGAAATTCAAATTCCTATTCCTTAAGGCACTTTGCTAATAGAATACCAAGAACAGGCAAATACCTTTACTCATATAGTTGAAAAGGTTAACTTACCCATATGGCAAGGTTTACTCTTTTTCCACCGATATTTAATTTCTTTGTTAAGAAAGATGCCTAAGAAAACAGAAATATATTAAACAATGTTTCACAATATTTCTCATTCTAACAATAGATGAATGAACCATTTTAATGTGAAATTTAAGTTATGAGAAAGATAAAATTCAATTTTTAATTTAAAACATTTACATTTTATCTAAGAAAAAGATATCCTATTTTATGCATACAAATTATTAAAATTATAAAGAAAATCTGGGGATGTAGCTCACTGGTATAATACTTGCCTGGCATATGTAAAAACCCCTGATCTCCAGCACTGAAATGAAAATGTTAAGTCTTAGTTTTTCTTTTCTAGATCTGGAACAAATTTTTCTTGGAGTATCTGATTTGTTGTCATCTTCATTATTTACGTTTAAGAAGAAAGAATGTAAGAGTCTTATACAATAAATGCCTTCTGGCAATTTATTAATTGTCTGAATAACAGTATCACTCCAAATGCCTCTGTATTTATATGATTCAACTGTTTGCTGTATATCTAATAATTATCACAAGTCTAATGTCATAGAGAGTATAGTAGAGAATTTGAAACAAAGAGAAGTACAATTCAATGTGATAAATGCTAGAATGGAGGGTCTTGCCAAGTACACTGTAAGACAAATGCTCAGGAAGCATAACAATTACACAAATCAGCCAAAGGCAGCTTCAGTGATCCTAGGGTTTCTCATAACAGATGGCGGAAGCCACTGAAGCCTTGAAATACATGACCCTAAGTGTGTTTGGGGAACTTCAACTCAGTACAGTCAATACCGTGGGGAGACTATACAAAGAAAGTTTGAATTCAAAGGATTCTATGATTCTCTAATAAGACTATGGACTTTATCTTGTGTAGGTCTTAGTAAAACTTGTTCCAAAACATTAGGTGTGCGTGCACATACACACACTTTTCAAAAAAGTATGTCATGTTAGATATATGTGGGAAATGTTACATTCTGCTCTCTCTATATTCACAATGTATGCCAGCACATTCAACCAAAAAGCAGGCTGGCTGTGTTTATTCAAGTATTTCCCAAACTCCTATGACATTCTTTTCCCCTATGTTTCTTCCATGTAACACAGAACTTCATTTCCCTGGAGAAATGCCTAATTTACCCTAAGAAATACTTAAGAAATAGTACTACTGATGACAGAGGATCATCAAAGTTTTGTAAGCAATGGGAAAAAGTACATCTATATTTTCAGAGAATGACACAGGGAGATAGGAAGAGGAAGGAAGCTGGATTCACAAGGACAGGATTAGACCTACAAAGTTGAACAGAAAAACTGAAAAGGTTTGAAATATGAACAGGAAAACAGAAAAGAGAGACTAGAATTGAAGAGGAAATACACTTAGAATCCAGAGTTGGTTGACATATTTTTAAAGAAGAACAGAAAGGTAATTTCAGCGTTATGCAGAAATGTCAAAAGTATACTAATACAGAAGAAAATGCACAGAAGAAAAGTATAGCAAGAAGCTAGAATAATTAATTATTTGAGGAAATGTAGACTTCAGGAAGAACTTTTTTGCTGTGGGCCTACCAAGGAAATGGAGAACTAACAAAAGGCCACTCAGTTTAGTGATTAACTGAGCGAGTCCACAGCTAAAATATACATAGCAAAGCTGCAATACATCCAGGAATGCCTGCTTTTAAGGTCCAATATTATTCTAGATTGTTCACTGCACAAAGATTACACAGAAAAGGGTAAAATAAACAAATCAATAAATAGCAAAACAGTCAAAGAACTTGGAAAGTAAAATGACTAAATAAGTTATGACAATACAATGATGACATAATTCAATTCATTCCATGATGCTGGAATGGCACGTTTGTGTATGTGCAGGAAAGATGGCTGTGGTTATGTCTGTCACCTGATGTAATCTGCAAACAAAAACAAAATTTTGCCACAATGCTTTTATTTTTGAACAAAACTGTTCGGTAACAGAAGGTGCACGTGAACTGACATGCCACCATAAAGGTAAATAAAAGAGACATCACCCACTCATTGTAGCATAAGAGCTAAAAACAGGAACTCTGGATCCTCTGGAAAGGAACTCTACTTGATCACTTACTATCAGCTATATAATTATTTGAATTTACTCATTTTCACTATGATTTTAAAATTAAAGCCATACAGAAGAACTTAAAATCTGAATCTTATTCAAATATAAATGAATAGGTTAACTTTTTTTCAGACATCTTCAAACTGAACTGATCTTCCCTCCAAAACTGACTTTCCATTCCAACTCTAGTTTCTTTATTACAATTTTCAAGTCACCAATGTGCATTTGTTTTTCGCTGTTTGGTTGGTTTGAAACAGAGTCAGTACACTGTCTACGCTACCCCTGAATTCCAGGGAACAAATGATTTCCCTGTCTCAGCCTCCCAAGCACCTGTGAATACTGATGTGCATCAGTCTGCCCAGCTATCAGTAATGTTTAGAAACTTAGAAATACATTCTTCTTCCCTTGTCAGTCCATATCCCTGCCAAATCTTCCATGTTTTGTCTTCGAATTTCCTTTGGGGTTCTATAACCAGTAGTGACATATGTCATAACGTAAATACCTCTGGTCTCATCTCATTATCTTACTTTGCATGCCAAATGATCTTTCCCAAATCTCCCTAATTTTTCTTCTTTTGTTTTTTAATCTTACAACTCAAAGTTTTTAGTAAGTACATTTAACAACATTCCTGCTGGCTGTTAATCACTGTTGTTGGTATTTCATAGCAGAGGGGAGTACCCTGGAGCTCACAGTCATTTCCTTTCCATCATCTCCCCTGTAACTTATGATCATCCCCTAACTGCAAGTTTAAAGAATGGCAGCAAATCTTTCCTTCAGAGCTATGGTCAGACATGACCAATTTTATGGAAAAGGTACTCATCAGCATTAACTATAAGGGGAAAATGGTGAAAAGTAAAAAACCTAGTAGCTAGTTAATTAATACACAAACATAGCACCCATTCATACAGTGAAATATTGCAGTCACTTTAGCTACTGCTAATACTAGCTAACATTTATTGAATGTTTACTTTCTTCTATGTACTGTATTTTACAATTTTTATAAAATCATTCATAAACTCTATTATAAATATTAGAGAGGTCACATCTACAAGTTTCAAAACTTTGTGTCAAAAGACTGCTAAAACTTGTCCATATCTATCTTCCTAAAATAGCTTCTAGTATATTTTTACTTACTCTATGATTTATTTATTTGTATTCTGTTTGGTCACCAAATTCTCTTCGTATCAGGCCTATTCTTTCTCTGAATTCCAGCTATCCAAACTCAGTTCACTCTTCCTTAGATTTTTAAGTTTCTTACATTATTCACACCATTCGCACTTAGTTCCTCTGCCTTGAAAATTTACCTGATTTTATAGTATACAGCATATATAGTCTTATCTTTTCATGGGCATAAGCACTCTTGTCTTTAGACTACATATTGTCAACAGTTTCAAGATACTTAAAATGAAATGGAGTGTGTTCTAACAGCTTTTCAAATATTAACTCATTTAATTCTCCTAATACCCTGTGAGTCAAGATACAATTATTATCAAACTACTACAGACATGGAAACTGAAACACATGGAAGACAGCTTACCCAAGGTCACAGTAAGTGACAGTATAGGATCTGAAATCTAGGTAGTCTGGCTCTGGACATGACTCCATATGGTTCCTCCCAGACTCTAACGCTTCTTTAGTGAAGGGTTGGGGAGGAATCATACTGCCCTTCCCATAACACACTTTCAAATACTGCTACTGCAGATAAAAACGTGTACAGACGTGCCCAGGTAAATCAATGCAAGTATAACACAATTTATGTAAAAGATATGCTTCAAAACATTTCCTTATAAACTACATTATTTCAACCTGAATATGCCATGCAGTAGTATGACATATTATCAAAGGATTCCTAAAAATATTACCATATAATGGAAAACTAAGGCACTTAGTGGAAAGAGTCCTTCTATAATACAAATGATCTTATTTTATACATTTTAAATTTTATATAATTTATATACATTTTAAATTTTTAGTATTTTATATTTTCTTCAAGAGAAAACACTGTTCTTAAATGTATAAGTATATTTGGTGATAAAGCTCAAATATTTAATATGTTATCAAAATAATCAAAAATGATTAAAAGGAAATGATCAAAAGGTAGAAATTTCTTATCAGTTCTATAAAGCACATACTCAATTTGACCAGACTATCTGTATTCGAGTGTCTTTTGTGGTTATAATACTCTGGGGCAAAGGTTCTTAACTCTGTTACACTGTAGTGAGGACGAAAGGGGAAAGTGAGTAAAGAGTTAATCTGAAGAAAACCATGAACACACTCCCATGAAAACTGTTCATATGTATTACAAAAAACAATTTCCACACTTCCAAGGGATTTATAAATACCTGGCAACATTTCAGGAAAATTCCCTCTCCCCAGGATGGCAAAGAGAGTAAGAACATTTTGAAAGGTTCTAAGACTATAGGAAGGAAACAAAGTAAAACATAGATTGTTCAAGGTTCCAAGCTTGGGCTTTCTACATAATGTTTGCAACAAGCTTATAAAGCTTATAACTGGCTGTATTTTACCATTGTAAACCTGAGATTTAAAATATGGTGACTCACTCAAGGTCAGGTAACTTACTGGGTAATACAGTAGGCAAAAGCCAATCTGACTACAATTTTTTTCCCTGTTCTAGAAAACACACATTCTTAATGTGGCAGGTCCTCACTGGGACAGTTAAGTATTCCTGTACCAACTGGAAATATTCTCAGGGTAGGAACAAAGTAACAAGGATCAAAGTCATGGTAAATTCTACCATTTTCTTCCAAAGGGTGAGTAAAAACATCACTACTTCTAATTCCAATGATTTTATCTTGCAAACTTGAAGATATTTTCAAACATTAACAATGTTATTAACTTGGTGGGTTTTTTTTTACACAATATTTTATTTTAAATCATAGTGGATGGTCCCTACCCTCAAATCCATTTTTAAAAAAGTAGCCTGGTATGGTGGCACATC